GGTAATTTTCAGCAACTGTCTTATTATGAGTTCGATAGTCTAAACCCCAAGTCAGGCCAAACCACTTTTGACCAAAAACGGCGGTCGAAAGCACCTTTGGCCGATAAAATCAGTCAAAAGTGCTTTTGATCGATTATGAGTTTTGACTGCAACACATATATGATATACAGGGTGGCCAATATATAACTGACTGACTTAAATTGCGCGCTATTTGATACACGCGTTTCAGTAGGTGGCGCCGTAGTAGTTCTTTAAAGCACATGTGTCTAATTCATCATGGAGCGCTACATGATCTCACAACACGGGTCCGTATTGCTAAAACGTTTTACTTGAACAATGAATCGATTGTTGCAACGATTCGGAAGCTACGACAATATTTCGGTCGAAAGAATGTGCCCAGTGTCAACACCATTCGTCAGTTAGTGCGGAAACTTGAACAAACAGGTGAAGTTAACCCTCCATCGCTCACGCCTCATTTTATTACACCATCGCTCGCGAGCTAGATTTTATCTAACATTCAGATGTTCAATAAAAAAGCTATTTTTACTTAAATTATATGTTTATATTGTCAGGTATAGTATTACTTATACTATTAAGCTATACATTAATGAAAAATTATTGTTATAAACTATAACAAAAATACTTATACTATTAAGCTATACATTAGTGAAAAATTATTGTTATAAACTATAACAAAAATACTAACGAAACACTGAAAATTATACATCTAAAATTTCTGAACTGAAGGTTTCTTCTTCTGATGTTTCATTCTGGAATCGTCTAGAGCTGAAGGAAACCCTAAAAAATAAATGCAGGGTATATATTGAAAGCGTTTACATAAATGCTTTACAAAACACTTACGCACTTTAAACATTCTCGTTACGTCCATAGCATTCATGACAGGTCAATGAAGTTATTGCTGTATGTTCCTTGCATATCAGTGATCTACAGGTTGAAAAATTTCTCTGAGTGAACCTGTTTTTTCTCAATGGACAGAATTCACATCTCACTTTGGCTTGAGTGGCTTGGTCTCTATTTGGGGTTGGTCTTTCTCCAGTTATGTTTCTAATCTTTTGACTAAGTAGATAAGGCAGACTTGGAATCTGAGAACGTCTATACAGGTGAGGCATGACAAGCAATTTACTAAGTTCCGATATAAGTTGTCTTCTGGTAATAATATTGTTTGTATTCGATAGATTATTTGGTTGTTGATGGTTGATACATTCAGAAGCCCACAGAATACGGTATATGGCCATCTATTGCTGAATCATGCTGTTGAATATTCAGATTTCATTTTGTCGACCACATCTACGCCTTCTTTCGTAAGATTATAGTCTGTAATAACTTCGGGCTTGAAAGCATCTCCAGTGTCATCGTTGATCTTACTATCATCATGCAGGGTTGATAATAACTGCACGGCACTAATTAGGGTTTTCATCCGTGTCTTCACCATATGCAAACATGCTGCTTTTTACTGGTCTATTTTTCACATCTAGAAGTTCTCGAGTAATTTGAGGCTTATTTTTGCGAATTGTTCCTATTGTGGTTAGTCGATGGTTTACTAATAAGCTATTAGCCAATGGCACTGAGGTGAAATAATTGTCAGTGGTTACATTTCTTCCTGTAGCACTAATTGGCTCTATGAGTCAATACAACGCTCGCCGCAAAATTTGATGTAAAAAATGTTCTGGCGTCTACTAATCCATAGATGCCGTATTTGGCGGGCTTGTTGGTATGTATTGTCTAAATCGGCATCTGGCCCGAAATGCCTCCAACATTTCGTCAATTGTTACGTAAAATCCCGGAGAGTGAAAGTGTAGTGGAGCGCCCTGAGACGTCTACCAGACATCGTTCTCAAGAAGTGGGCATTCGACGCACGTTTTAATCCACTATTTTAAAAAAAAAAATTGCATTTGTGGCCATACAAAATTCACTCAACCCAAGAACTACAGCCTAGTGTCCATGAAAGTCGCCGACAATACAATTATGCAATATTGCAGCTTAGTACCCAAAATAACGTTTTTACTGACAACTGATAATGAGCGATGAAGCCCACTTCGATATGAACGGATTTGGGAATGAGCAGAAATGTCATATCTAGGCATTAGAGAACCCTCGTGTCACTCGTCAACGACCATTACATCCTCGAGTCACAGTTTGGTGCGGTGTTTGGTATAGAGATATAATTTGACCTTACTTCTTTGAAGACGCTGCAGGTAATTCTCTTACTATCACTGGCAAGCGCTACCGTGATATGGTGCAAAACTTTATGGCTCCTCAAATCCTACAATTTAACCTGCAAAACGTGTAGTTCCAGCAGGACGGAGCAGCTTGTCACACAGCTAGCGATACAATGAACCTTTTGTGATGTCAACTGGCCACCAAGGTCACAGGATTTAACGCCTTCTGACTTTTTTATGGGGATTTTTGACAAATAGGGCTTATGCCAACAAACCAGATACTGTAGAGCAGCTGAAGAACAATATTACGGAATCGATTGAAAATATTCCTCCCAAAACCTACCAAAAAGTTATGGAAAATGTAATCAAGAGGGCTTAGGTTTGCGCAGCTTCTATAGGTGGACATTTGTCTGATATTAATTTTCATACATAATTTCTAAGTTTCAATAAGAGATTAAGATGAAAAAAATGGACGTATTTTATTACAATTCATGAATATTCAAGATACAAACCAGTCAGTTACATTTCGGCCACCCTGTATATATACACACATATATATATATATATTATATATATATATATATATATATATATATATATGCATACAAAAGAAAACCTCAAGGCGGAGTTGTCTACATGGTGCTCTACCACTCAAACTCTGGTCAAATCACTGTTATGTAGAATATGTACGTTTTAGGTCACGTAGTCACGTACGAGCCCCTTCCCACTTCAGTTGGCCCAACTATTTTCTTATCAAACACAAATAATAAAAATGTAGCAGCGTATTATAGGTTTAAAATATTAACAAAAAATATGTTGATGATATATAGTAGAAAACACCAACTTTATCACTCCCTAATCAAATTTGCAGCATAAAAATAACACATGTTGCAATTACAGCATATCAACCTATTTTCATTTCAATGCAAAATAAGTCTATAACGCATAGGTGGCTGTGAAAAATAAAAGCCATGGCAATTGTTTTTATTAATTACAGCTGTCAAAATACGTTTAAAATAGTTTTTAGTAGTTAAGGTTTTCAAAATAGGTAGAGGAAAGGTTATTAGTGAGAAAATTCGGTTACTGATAATTAAATTTTCTAATTCTGGGAAATCAAACTCAGAAATTGCAACTTTGTTAGACTTATCGCGATACAGTGTAAGAAATATTATTAGAAGATATAATATAACTGGTTCAGTTAATATTAAGCCACGATATGTGAAAAAAAATAATACCACAAATGCCGACCGAAGAGCATTAAGACAAATAATCGTAAAAAACAGGCATGCCAATTATTTACAATTAAGTGCTATGTAGAGTGGCGCTGTTGGAAGGAGAATTTCGAGGTCCACAACTCATAGAGAGGCCCACAAACTGGGATTTAGTACTTGCAAGGTAAGTTTTCTCATAAAAAAAGTGAAGTACCCTAAAGTTGCACAACTTGTTTATAGGCCAAAGAAAAGCCACTATTAACTCCACTGCAAAGGCTTAGATGGGCTAAAGAACATAGACAATGGACACCTCAACAATGGTGTGCCATATAATGGAAAGATCAGGCCCGATTCGAAGTTTATGTTGGTGACAGTCGCAGTAGAGTTATTCGCAAAAAAAATGAGGCATTTCATGTTGTCTGTCTGAAGAGGAAAGCGAAATTTCCAGCATCCATTCTGGTCTAGGGCAGTACGTCATCAAAAGTAGTAGGAAAACTTCATTTTATTGATGAAAATGTGGATACAAACAAATATTTGGCAATTTTAGAAGAATCGCTTTTACCAGTGATGCAAGAATGTTTGACATCCGGCCAAGATTTTGTGTTTCAGCAAGATGTTGCAGCGTGCCATACCTCAAAAAAGGCTGTAAAATGGATGGAAGTAAATAATGTACCGCTTTTGAAATGGGTTTTTAGCAGTCCAGATCTGTCACCTATTGAAACTTTGTGGCACGAGATGAAAAAGGTTCTACAACATCCTGCTCGCACAATCACCGAACTGAGACAAAAGCTTCAAGGAATATGGGATTGTTTTACACCAAAACTTGGTTAACACTATGCCCCAAAGAATTTCAGCCGTAATAAAAAATAAAGGTGATGTTACCCAGTGGTAATCTTTCAATTGTTGCTTGGTTAACTTCGCGCATTTATTCGCACATTGTTTATTTGTTCAGATGTTCTATTAGTTATAGGTCTAAGTGATTTCAAATATGTTTTTTTTACGACTAGAGTGTATCTAAAATGTTTTTGAGAAAATAAATTGTTTCAAAAGCAAATAGTTTCGTCATGTTTAGTTTATAAAGGCATATTTTAGTACAAATGAAGTGGGCCAACTGAAGTGGGAAGGGGCTCGTATATTCAATCAAGGCTAGTCAGACATACATCTCTTAGCTGCTTTTCAAAACTAGTATTTGAAAATGATTTGTAATGTGGTAGTATGGAGTTTGTACACATTAAACTTAATACGCCTCTAAAAAAAAGTTGTCCTGTGTACGGGAACTGCAATTTGACACTGATTTCTGATATTAACATCATGTACCTGTATGTCCAATCAAAAAAAAATCTATAAAGCTACAAACTCTAAGAAGAATTGGGACATGGTCAACGTCAACTTACAGATATGACCCGTGATAATATGGTAATTTAGAATTGTACTATGTCACAGCTTGACAAACAGCGTGCTTTCTTATATCGACCACCGGCCTTGGAGGACAACATTGCCATATCTCTAGCTGTGAGATTTTTTTATCACAATCTTTCTGAGAAATTTTAAGAATACTTTCGAGACGCTCTAGTATTAATGAGGACTTTTTCAAAATCCTTATACATACCCAAGAAAACGGTTTGACGTTGTATCCATGAATCTGCAACGAGAAAAATATCGCCAAAGACAGCAGCGAAACTCCAGTACACAAACTGGACACAGTCAGCAACGCTTTCCTTCCAAACTTGTCCACGATGAAATCAGCAATGACAGCTGACAGCAACATCATCCCAGCGAATAGAATCCCCGCCACGTTGGAGCTGAGATACCTTGAGTTCGCTGCAGACAGGATCTCATGCAGGTTCATCAGCATTACGCTTATGCTGCTGAAATGTTGAGCACCGTTCAGGACCAGCATGATGAGGATGGCTTTGCGGTTGCTTTTGGAGACTACTAGGTCCATTAAGCGCCCCTTTTCCTGAAACAGATACGAGATAAAATTAATTAACAGTTATTATTTCACAACTAATGACCGTCCAAAAGCTATTTAATAATGACCCGCATCATGGAGTATGTTGGATTTCAGCAAAGCAGAGATATGATCGGCAAAATGCGTGCTGGCGGATTGAACGGAATTGCCAGAAGTCAGACCTTATCATACGATTTTAGAGATTTCAACAATATCAAAAAATTAAAATGAAACGTTATACAGGATGTCCGTTTTTAATCTTGCCACCTGAAAGAACTTTCAACATAAGCCTTAAGGAGAGGCAAATGATGGTGATCTTGGCCATAACCACGACCTTTAGCGTCATTTCAAGGTCATGTGGATATTTTCAAATGGAACCCCTTTCTATATCAAGATTGAGAGAATCAAGATCAAATCACGATATCGAAAAAATATTTGACGTTTGTGGGATCCGGTGGCCATTACCACAACCTTCAAGATCAAGTCAAAATTTTCAAAGGAAACCCCTCAATTTTATACTGGAATTTGAAAAAGCAGGACGTTTTGCGTCCAAATGTCATACTTCAATGTCAGTTGAGGTCAAGGTCACACTCATACCATACGTAAAATCTCCTGTGTTTTCCAATTTAACTTCAAAAATCGGGAACTTCTTTCGGAAATTTTGACTTGGCCTTTAAGGTTATTGTCAAGGTTATGATGAGGGTCACCGTTGTGTGATCCCCACACACTTCACAATGATGCTGTCGGACATTTTTGCTAAAGCAAATAATTATTTTTAATGTATTAACTTAACCCTCAAATGGTCTTGAATGTCATGCTCAAAGTTACGGCGAAGGCCATATTCGGACGTAAAATTGTTTCCTCTAGTTACGGGGTTTCATGTGAAAATATCAATTTGATCTTGAAATCACTTCGAAAGTCGTGATCCAGATCACCATTATTTGACCCCCTGGAAACCCAACTTTTTTTTAGGATGCACAGTTTCCAAAAGACAGATGTGAAGATTAAAATGGGACGCCATGTTTAAAAACGTATAAAATTCGATTTTTTTAATAGATATGTATCTATATAATATTTAGTCTATATTTTTTTTAATTATTGTGATCTCAAAAATCATTTGGTAGGTTTTTAATATGTACACACGCCTATTGTCATTGTTTTTTACTGTTATCTTTCCGTGTGTTTTGTGTATCTGTGTATTTTCTTGGTCACTCTTCTTGACTGGACGACGAAACGTTGGCAATTAAAAAAAATGGCGTCATGTAAGTTGATTCTGTAATTCTCACGTAACGCTGTCATCAGTTCGTAAAGGATTGTGTTAGGCACGAATTAGCCCTTCTAAGAAAAAAGTTAGCTACGAAGTTGTATGACAAAAAAAATGGACTGTCCTTCCACCTCCCCTTGAGAGAAATTCCTGTTGGCGCACATAATTGTTGCTATGACTAGCCCTGTGTGGATGGTGATATTGTTTTTTAAAGCATACACAGCCCACAACAGCACGAAGCGGCTACCGACTGCGACGCACCACGGTCAGCCGGACGTATCGACACACTACAGCTGGAGATATTTCTAAATTTTAAGGGTAAATGTACGGGGACCTCTATGATGAGTGAAATATGTCCAATAGGTATGTAGAATTACTAGGCTTACTAATAATAAATATACCAACGTGAAAAATTGAGATATACACGTGCGCGCTACTAGGGCGTGATAAATACCTAAGATACTATTTAAACTTTCCTCTAATGTCCGAAAAACATAAAACTTTCACATTCACAATCTCTCGTTCATGAATGGGAAGTGATAACAGCTTCTTTAAAAGCTTCAGCGTACGTCTTACATCGCAGACAGCCAACGGTGGAGAGCTGTTTAGGCTATTTGGCATTTGATCAGCATGGTTTAGGCATGATCTCAGATAAAACAACGATATAGGATACAAGTATTATCGAAATACGGCACCACAAATTGCCTTCTATTGCCAGTCTCGCAGTGATCGTAGTAACTACATATGTCCTAAAAGTTTTGGCCCAAAAATTTGTCGAATTTTTTATGAAAATTTTTTTTAAACACTAACTAGTCATCATAATTAACAACTCACTACTTAACTAAACTATACAATCAAATTATGTGGAGTGGCTCATCCTGCTCTACCAGACAACTTTTCTCGAATGTCTCTCATGAGGTCCTGGGCGTAAATTTGCTGTCTTAATTGTTCTTCATCTTGGGCTTCCCAGCCTCCATGATGAACCTTCTGGACAGTAAAGCTCAAAAATCCTCTGTTGGTCGAAACTGCGGCAAGTTTGGAAAATTATTTTTTCCATTGGCAAAGTGTACCCACCGCAGTTGATGGTAGCATACGAAAAAGTTGTGCTTAAGCATTTTTTGAGCATTTGAGTCTCTTTCGATATTTAAGACCAATCCTCCTCAATTCTAACGATATTGTACTCTTAGAAGATCTGTATTGACGAGCCAGTCTCCTTGTTGACATTCCAACCTGATTTTTTGCTCTTCTCACCAATCTCTCTGACCTCTGTGCAGTAAATGCACGTGGTCTTCCACTTTTTGGGAGGTTCAAACGTGGTCTTCCCTGCTCTCACTTCGCTATTGTTCCATAAATGGTTTTGCGTGAAATATTTTTATTCTGGAATATTCGTCAGATTTCAGCTTTGGGTACCCGCCCAACCAACTTGTAGATAATTTTTCTTATTTCTTTTTTATACATCTTAAAGCGAAAACTTCAAAATAAATCAATGTCAACTGACAGTAAAGTAAGTAACAAACTTTTGTTTAGAAAGGCAACCTGATATTATTTTAAAATTAGAGGCAATAATATTTGTGCCAAAACTTTTAGGACATACGTTGTATGGCACTTTGTACTGTTTTATGTCAACAAACTCTTACCTGCTGTTGCCTCTGTACTGCGGTAGCAATCTCATGGATCTCCTTATCCACGCAATCCGAGTCCCTCAGTCTCTCCAGATGCCTTTTGGCCTTCTCCGGCTTGCTCTTCGACATGAGGTAGTATGGTGAATCCGGCATGAAGGGAAAAGATACTAACTGGATTATAACCAATACTCCACCGATGATAGAAGGCACGTAGAACGGTACGTATGGTGCCACCGCATAAATCACCAGGATGCCCACCAACATCATGACGTAGATGATGCCTGCTAGGAAGCCGCGGATTCGTTTGTCTGCTATTTCTGCTATGTACATGGGGGCTGCTACGAAGGCAACGTCACCCGATAGGCCTACCATGAACCTGGAAAGAAGAATATGGTCGGTACAGGATGATCTAGCTGGCGCTAATTACTAATTAGACGAAACTAAGGTTCCTAGTTGGACAATTTTTAGCCTTTTTCCTGAAAACGTTCTCACGATGGTCATGCAGATTGTGCAATGCTTGCCAGAAACCTTTTTCTTGGTTGATTTCAAAGTGTATGAGAGAGAGAGAGAAGCGCGTAATACGTGTGTAAAAAAGAGAGCACCATGCTACCTGACAACGACAGTGATTAATACAAATTCCAAGTTAGCAGATATGCATTTCACCTTCGGACTTGCTGACGGGTATGCGCGTATGGCTAGGCGGATATATCAAGAGGGGTATCCAAATCGTATCATTTCCGATGGCAGAATGTTTTCTAGAATACACAGAAGACCACATGAAACTGGGGTCTTAACATTGACAAGAGTTCCAAAGGGGTACATCGCACCGTGAGTACACCAGAGTTGCAGGAAGCTATTCACAATTGAGGAACATCCAGAAACAGGTACTAGGAGGAACATTGCGGTAATGCTTAATGTTTCCCATTTTCTTATTTGAAAAAAACTTGTTGATAATTTACTATACCTCTATCACATTCAAAGAGTTCAATCACTACTGCTGTTTAAATATCTGCCGAAGGTTTCTAGAAAAACTTGCTGAAACCTTTTATTTGATACCAAAATACTCTTTACCGATGAAGCTAGTTTTTCCAGCAATTCCTTTCGAAATTGCCATAATAATCATGTATGGGTCGAAGAAAACCTATACGCAATTACACAGGCACATCGTCCGGAGCAGTTTTCCGTGATTCTGTGGGATGGAATAGTTGCCAATTTTGCTCGAGGATGTACCTCTTTTATTAAGAGAAAAAATGTGGTAGATGCATGATGGTGCTCCTGCACATTTTAGCATTCATTATGCTAGAGTATACCTAAATAAAGCGTTTACGAATCGCTGGACTTGGTAAAGCTCAATCTTGGCCTACCAGGTCCCCTGATTTAAATAGTTTAGACTATTTTTTGCGGGGGCACCTGAAGACTTTAGTTCATACTACAACGGTTCAAACTGTAGAGGAACTAAGGCAGAAAATATTACTTTCTTGCCAAACCATAAGAAATACTGGAATTTTCGGGAGGGTTCGCCAATCTATGAGAAATAGAATTGAAGCCTGTGTTCTAGCAGAAGGAGGACATTTTCAACAATTCTCGTGATAATTAACTGAAATAGTATTAGAAATTGTCAAAACTTGTAAACTTGTTTTTTTAATCTTTGTGCATTTCAAAATCGCTAAAATCTCATGTGGTAGTTTGTAGGTAAGATGTGTTTTTGTTTAATTTTTATTCCAGTAAAGTCAATTGATCAAAATAGCCAAACTGGTTCTTATTTTTTACATGAAATCGCGGCATCGTACGGAAAAACGTGAAGAAATTGAATGTGTCGCAAAATCAATGAGGACTTCAAAAACTATTTCTATATTTGAAAAAAGCAATGGCGTACCATATTTTTTTGAAAAATCTCCAGTACACAGACGCCACTGATAGAGATATTAAAAAGTAGTATACATCAAGAATGCTTATTGGTGCTTAGTAGATGCATGTCAAATTTCATGAAAATATTTGGAACAGTATTAAAGTTATGATAAAACTTTAACACGCTGTAGCTCAAAAGTTTAGTTTTAGTTGGTCACTCAATCACGCCAAAACAGCTGATCGGCAGGGTATAACTTATCTTAAAAAGTGACATTTTCCCAGTTTTTTTAGCATTATATAGGTTTTTCATGAGACATTATGTAGGTTTTTCTCTATATGAATGTGAATATCTACATAGACAATATTCAATCTGTCACAAATATGAATTGATAATTTTAAAAAGGTATCGAACCGAAATATGCCGCTTCATACTTTTTACCATTGAACGATAATGAAGCCTTTTCGAATCAATTTCTCAAATAAAAGCATGTGACATTTGAACAGCAAGAAGGAAAATGGTCGTTAATTCTAAATGTTTAGTTCTATTCATAAACGGCTAAGTAAAAGTTTGTTTTTAATATCTCTTTTTTCTTTTATATATTATTCTCATAAAATGTGTATGTTCAAGAGCAAAAAAACATGTAGTAAGTTGACTTGTGGCACTGTACGTTCTTACTGTAATATTATAAGGTTCCTTTAAAATGCATTGTCACAAGCGGAAAAATTCTGCAACAAATTTGGGCTAAATGACCCCGCGCTACGAAGGATGCAGTTATTAAAAGGATGAATTCCTTCATAACTTAGAAGCAGAGAAAAAATGAAAGGGTCTCCTTTGGTATTGACACTAATATAAAAGGAATGCCAGCTCGAATCCCAAAAAAATTTAATTAACTTAAAAATCGGTGAGTGGAAAACTTGTTTTAATGTCAAATTTCATATTATATTCCATATAAAAGATCTAAATATTCAGTTTGTGCATTGTTATACATGTGCATCCGAACGAGAATTATGGTTTTCTCGTGTGGGGATGACATATAACATAATAATGTTGACAAAAATTCTATTTTACAAGCCTGACGAATTTTAACATATGAGGTGTCGTTAAATTCATCTTAACTGTGCAAGTGACACCAGCTTTATTTAAACTTCATAAAGTCAAAGTGGCGGACATAAACCGAAGATTTCAGCTTTATAATTTTTATTTCACATGCTACAGCTAAAACGACTTGGATGGATTTTACCTAATGAGGCACCTATAGAATTGTCTTGACAGTACGAGTGAAAATCTTATAAAGTCAAAATAACGGACTTTAATCATAAATTTATTCCATGGGCTACAGCTTAAGCGACTTGATGAATTTTGAGGTTGGAGTTGTTCCTAGAGTCGTCCTGAGAACAATTTTAACTCCATTTCCGTTACTGCAGTCGGATATTTTGTATCTTTTAAAACATGTGCTTGTATCTATAATTTAAAAGTGGAGGGCTACATAATGACATTTTAAAGCACACTGAATTAAAACCGCATTCTTGATTTGCCTTTCGAGTTGAGGCTCAACTTACGCGAATATCGGAGATCTTTTGGTTCATCAGTCACTTCACATAAAACTTGTGTAGTGAGGATCTGCCTAAAATGCAGTATTAGAGATTTCGAAAACATTCCAAGCACTAAAAATTTAAATCAAATGCCGAGTAAGCACATCAGTTGGCACCTGCGGATGGCATCAGTGAGAGAAGCAATGTGAAATATATATATATATATATATATATAGCCTATATACGAAAAATAAATATCAATTATTCATTACTACAGGATGGTGCGTTTGGATCTGATGTATTTATGGCTATAAAATTGTATTTACACCAGAAGAAACGAATAAATATTCAAGTTAAGATTTATGATGAATATTTACCTTTAAGAATTTACAAGTATTGAAAATGACTTTTTTTAGGTTCTCTCCTTATTAAGCGATTGATTCTCGGACTTAGTCGTTGAAGTTTATCATTGCTAGCTGCTGCATGTCAAACGGATTTACTGCACTGATTGCTGTCTTTAGCCTCTGGATAGTTTGGGATATATTTTTGTACACCGCTTAAGCTAGTCGCACAAAAATTATCACGTACCGTGAGATCTGACAAGCGAGGCGGACATAACGCGACATAACAGGAAACACAGTGATTACGATGTGCATAGATACGCTCTTCATATGCAGTAGCTCCATCCCGTTGGAACTATATTGTATTGGTGCCGTATTCAATTTCTTTGAGTTGTGTGACGGCGAAAGGTGCGTCTCACGGGAAAGGTGGATTTTGGGAATAAATATCCTACGTCAAATGCGCAACGCTCAGTAGACTAGGTAGTCATGGTTACTAAGCAGTCCGCTTCCAAAAACGTCAGTCCCAAACGCGCCACCCTGTACAATTATCCAGCTCATACATATCTCACCTGGCTACGTAGAGGTACACCACATGGTTCGCGAAGGCTATCAAAACCCAAGACACCAACGCTATCAACGCAGACACGATTATTGAACCCTTTCTTCCGATCCTATCCACTGCAAGTATCGTAACTGGCAGTCCCGTTATCCCTCCAATCATGTAGATGGACTCCAACCATATTTCATCTGTTTTGGATACGTGTATGTGCGTATCATTCCTGGAGAGGACTTGAAGAACTGGTGCCGTCCAGCCATAGTGCATGCCATCTGAGATTGCCCCAATGGTGCCTGGAAAGAAGGAGATCAGTGTAAGCATTGGTTAACGTTCATGTAACGTATTCCGGCATCAAAATGATATATCTAAAAGATTCCAGCGTTACTTATAAGACAGTAGCGGAGTACAAACATAAATTTAGAAATCATTTCGAAATGAGTTATAATGTTGGGTTATTATATTTTCGCATAGATGGCGCTAGGACCTTCAGTCCTTTTTTAGCGCCTCTCTTGTTTAAAATATTCATTAGAGAGGCCAAGCACGAAAGAGTAGCAGAACCACACCCCTAACCCTTTTCAAAGTAGATTCTTGAACTCATGTTTCTGTATGTTCTGCTACTGTCCTGTAGGTGGCGCTAGTACCTTTCAGATCCTTCTTTCTATAACGGAATATAGTAGATGGTTAGCTATCTTCAGGTAGAAAAACCTTAATCAATGATGTAAGCTTGCTATTGTACACATTCGGTAGTATTTTGGTTTGGGTGAAAACGTGGCCTATATATTCATAATTTTAGTACATACTTTTGGCTAATTCGCCCACGCCAATGGTTGTGACAAATCTATATATCGGCGTGCATTATTTTCTCTGGAAAGGATATTCCAGTAGCCATTGGTACTTAGGGCAACATGACCGAAGTCTTGGTCTTATAAAATAATAAATAAAAGATGTCGTGGTCTTGGTGTTGCTGCAGCAAATTTTGCTAGTCGTTTCAAATAGTTGTATATTACTCTTAATGGGTAATAGTAGTGTCAGAAGTGATATAAAATATGTAGAATAAGCAGCTCTATTGGTCTATATTTTTTAACATCAATGAGTTAATTTTTTCGAAAACTGATCACAATAATAATAATGGTGATAATTACTTCTGTCCTGAAAACTTGATAAATATTATGAAGCTCTAGGTTTGTCGAAGAAATTTTGTATGCATTTTGGTTACTAGTAGTATTACAATGCCACAGGGTGTCCATAATCAACAGCCAACAGCATTAGCATTTGAACCTAACATGCTAAGTAAAGCATTGTTTATCCTCATTCTACAGTCAGTTGTCAGTTCTATGTTTCATTCTTCATATTAGCTTACTGTAGTAACTATGTCCACGGATAGATACTTATAATTATTCAGACTACTTGTCAAATAATTATTTTCATCTCGTCTTGCCAACAAAAAAATATCATTTTTTTAAACCAAGATTTCACTATTCTAGTATATATTTGGCAAAGTATGTTCAAAATATTCCGTTACTACAGTTGCAGTCACTGTTCTTGGCGGTTACAGCATCAACGCCATATGAAAGTGGAAGAACAGATGTGTGTCACATCAGTGGCGGACATCTGAACTTCGCCAAACTCCTTTTTATACAAAAGTATGTTTATTGGTTGATGTTTGGCGAATAAAGACGTTTATTATTATAATTATTGTTATTATTATTATTATTATTAAATATATAAACAGATCAGAACGGGTATTATGTAAAAAAATTATAAAACGTCAAAAAAAGTATAAGGTGTAGGTAGTTTTTAGGGCACAAACAGTCATTCCACGTTTGCTCACGAGGATCGTTGTGAACGTCCATCTTTGGACGAAACACTCAACTAAACTACACGCATTGTTAGTTGCATATGTTTTGTGAGGCCGAGTGGTCTGCAGCTTTTATCTCTGAGAAGAAAGTTGGTTGAATAGCAAGATCCCACCTGGATGATTATGTGTATTGGTCTGCATGTCTATATAATCAGTGATATCTTCTGTGTGAGAAAATCATTACTGAATATGCTGCCAAGGAAGTATATCTATCAACTGTGCCCGACGGGTTATTTATATGTTGCCGTTTCTGAAGACAGGTGATGTTCATAGTTATAAATTACGAAAAGCTTTGAGGAGAATTACGGGAAATCATCACCACGCCTGCGTTGTGTGTAATTACTGTTAGCATGTATATGGCTTGTAATTCGACAGTGTACAGAGAATATAATTATTTCATATCTCTCTCATTTTTTAAATTCGGCTAATTTGCATATGTAATTTCCAAAATGGATAAGAAAAAGTCGATGCGCAACTAATTTCTAGCTTTGAATCTCAATTTAGTGTATTTCAGACAAGAATCCAGTGGAATCATCATCAACACATACAACTTACAGCTTAGACCTCCAGTAATGCAATCTGTGAAGCAGATTTCACATAACATCAGAGCCAAACATTGATAACTGCAGCCTCATGACGTTCAGGCAACACGTACAACTAAGTGCTAAGTTAACATCTTGTAGAAAAACCTACATAATGTCAAAAAAACGTCAAATTTAAAGATAGGTAGGGTAAGGGCGCGTAAGAGTACGCAGCCCGTAAGAGTACGCAATGCGCGAATCGGATAGTTCTAAAGTCGTCTAGGTGTAGTCTGCAGTGTCGATGTGTCTAAAGGAAGGTTGTTGTTGGGCAAAATAAGGCAGTGTTTGGCGGAAATTACAAGGAAAAAATGTAAGTAGAAAGAATTTGCATATTTTTTTATAACTTCTTGCGAGCTTACAATAGGTAGTGTTGTCTAGTTGAAGCTTAAGACCGGATTTTGACTATGCACCTCAACGGAGGTTTGTTAGGTTATAAAATGATCAATATGCTTCACGTGAATGTGGTTGCCTATTTTCAGAAAATGCATGCTCTTGCCCCCTTGTTCATGTACCCAAGAGTACGCACACAAAGAGTACGCGCGTACTCTTTATGGCCACGCGTACTCTTTGTGGCCAACGCGTACTCTTACCACTCTTTAAATTTTTTCCATTAATCTAATAAAAATAAAAATAAATGATCTACGGACAATGGCAAAGCAAGAAAGAAAATCTGGCCGGGAGTTAAAGTTTACACAACAATTATTAGAGGAAGCCCAAACAAGGATTGATAATGGAGAAAGTAAACGATCCGTTGCGGCATCTTTGGGGGTAAATGAATGCAGCTTAAGAAAGCGGCTTCGAATGGTAATACATTAATTTAACAAAAAAAATATTACAACTACTTAATAAAAAAAAAAATGTTTTAGGGAACAGTTCCGACGTCACTAGGCCGGTTTCAACCCGTCTTCACACATGCTCAAGAGAGGGAATTAGCTGCACACAGTAAAGATCTTGAAATAAGGTTTTATGGCCTGGGAAGAAAACAAGTAATGGCACTTGCTTATCAATACGCAGAATTAAATAATATTCCGCATCGTTTTAATCCTGAAACAAAAATGGCAGGAAGACATTGGATTAGTGACTTTGCAGCTCGTCAGAACTTGTCTCTGCGAGTCCCAGAAAAATGCAGTTTGGCAAGAGCGATGGGGTTTAATAGAGCCCAAGTCAATAAATTTTTTGACAACTTAAAAGCTTGTTATGAGAAATATAACATGCAACCTCACCGTTTATTCAACATGGACGAGTCAGGCTTATCAACTGTGCCAAACAGGTTGCCTAAAATATATTCACAAAGAGGAAAGAAGTGTGTCTCAAAGATCGTGGCGGCAGAACGTGGGCAACTTATAACAGCAGTTTGCTGCATGGGTGCTTCTGGGATATGGGTTCCGCCTGGCCTAATTTTCCCGAGAAAATGGATGAGAGAAGAGTTGTTCTTTGGGGCACCACTGGGTACCTTGAAACTGATTTCTGACACCGGTTATATGAATACGGAGTTATTCTTGGAGTGGATAAAACATTTTTGTAACCATGTAAAGCCCACCAAAGACGACCCGGTATTACTTAGTATGGACAATCATGTGTCTCATTGTTCACTGCCGTTAATCTCATATTATAGAGAACATTTTATAATCTTGCTCACTATACCACCGCACGCAAGCCATAAGCTACAGCCGCTTGATAAAGGTTTTTTGCGCCGTTGAAAACTGTTTTTTCATCGGAATGCGACAAATATATGACCACAAATCCTGGCAAGCCGATTACCCAAAAACAAATGGCTATGCTCTTCGGACAAGCGTATTCAAGGGTTGCAACGGTATCCATATGCCAAAAGGCTTTTGAAGCCACTGGTTTATACCCTTATAATCCAGATGTTTTTAATGATGATGATTTCGCTTCAGCGGATGTGACTGACATTGATCCTAATCATATGGATCCAGAACTAGGAATTGCGGATCAGGGTCCACCAATTCTGGAGCCTGGAACTAGCAACCAAACTAACAGACAAGTGTCAGTGGACAAAGAGGACGATATTCCGTTAGCCAGATTTTGCGAGAGGAAAAAAATACAAAAAAAAAGTAGAAATGAACAACAAAACCCCAGAAAAAAATGCTATTTCCAAGCATAACAATGACAACAACGAAGAAATACCACACAGTACAACAGATCAAAATGACAGTATACTGAATTCGACAAGTGTAAAGCCATCCGATATTATCTCGTTCCCTACGGCAAAGCACGCACAGGTTAGGCGCAAAAATTCTAAAAAATCAGAGATATTAACCTCAACACCAAACAAAGATATATTGACAGAAAAACTGGAGTCACAACAAAATAGTGTAAAGAAGAATGTCTTCGGCAAAAAAAGGAAAGCACCAGAGGATCGCCCCAAAGAAAATATAGAGCAAAAGTTACCGGCTTCTAAAAAACTTAGCGGTTCTGTAGATGATGTTGCCTGTCCCTTGTGCAGCGAACATTACAGCACTTCAGAGTGGATCAGATGTGGTTCTTGTAGTACCTGGTGAGGACTGTAGCGAATATTCGGAATCTGGTGAATTTGTATGCGATTTTTGTACCTAACCAAAATATCCATAGTGCGTACTCTTACCACCACCACTGCGTACTCTTTAAATCCAGTGTTCGCAAGAGTACGCATATGCGTTTTTTTTGTTTAAATAGTTGTATCTTTTTTGTTAATACGAATAAAAATGTGTTTTGTTGTTTTCTGATGCTTGAAGCGCCAAGCAACTGATATTTATTTCGAATAAAAAAATAAAACTGTATATGACGTTTCTGTCTCCTGTCAAAAGTTAAGTGCGTACTCTTACGCGCTCTTACCCTAATACCCGTGCGGGTC